CTTTTTCCTGCTCAGGAAATTATGGGTCACGTCCATGTTGATCCCTCCGTACCCATTTGTTTTATGGGTATCCCATCTAGTTTCAATCCAATTGAGATCACAGCTGTCCACGGTGTTTGTTTTACACTAAGCAAAAGAGGAAAGAAGTCTGGACCACCGTGCAGGGCTGTAAGTGAGATTTTCACTGCTTAATTCATTTCAAAGTATTTTCGTTCACCTCCTAAAGTCAGAGTAGAAGAGAGGGGCTCGCATATAACAAATTTTAAAAGGCAGCCTCTGTCTATGGTTTGCAGTTTGAAACTTGACAAGACTTGGCGGGTCCAGTTTCATGTGTTTCTGTGTGTCCGCTCTGGGTTTTCATCCAAGGTTCTTTTCCTGCTTTCCTAATGTTTAATATTTAAAGCCCTCCGTCCCCTCTCCCTCGGGCCCTTTTGGGTTCTCCCCCTGCCCTCTGGAGCCACAAAAAGCCAGGCCGGGCCGTCTCCTCCTCCTCACGGGTTCTCCGGAGGGGCAGAAGCCGGCGCTCGCCAGGGCGAGCAGAAACCAGAGGCCTGGATCTTTCCATCAGATGGACGAGGAGTTCAACCAACGGACGAGCTGCCTCCTGCCTGACCAGGTCGAACAAGCCGTGGGAAACATGAGTTGGTTCCACGATTCGGCCACTGAGGAGGTCCCCAAAAGTGTGGACTGGCGGAAAGAAGGTTACGTCTCGCCAGTGAAGAGCCAGGTGAGTCTGGACTCCGGGAGAGAGACGTCTCGTTAAAGTTCAAGACATAAACTCTGTCAGGGTCTTCGTGGGATGCTCGGGAGGGATTTACCACTTCATGGTGTTTCTGTGAATGAACAACCTTCACAACTCCTGTGGGTTCTTTTGTGAAGTCAGTCTATCACACCATGTATTACAAGTTCAAATAGAGAGAGAGAGAAAGAGATTGGGAGTTTGATTCCTCCACGGGGCCTCCTTGAGCAGGGCTGGACTGGATGATCTTTAGAGTCCCCCTTCCAGCTCTGTGCTTCTAAGATTTTTGCTATTACAATTTTTAAGTATTTAAAACTTTAAAAATCCACTTAGGAAAAGCCTGGGATGCAGGCATAGTGACAATCACTTACACAACACACATTAATACTGAAAAATTTATTAATCATATAGTAATTAAAACTCCATTGATTGATAATATAATAATTGTTAACACTTTGTTAAGTTTACAATAAGAATGAAAACTCCATGAATTAATGACACACTAATAATTAAACCTGTCATAATTATCCAAAACGTTTAGAAATTGTAGAAACACCTTGAGGAAAAAAATGAAACCAGCGTCCGGGGACTCAGATCAGAGTCTGGACCTCGGGAGCCGCTCGGCTTCTCAAGAGAACCTTCCTATCGTCTGGATTTGGACCCTTCAGAGTGAATTTCGGATCCTTTCTGGCAGACCCGGATCTGAGCTCGCTCACAAGAGATTCCTGGTTTCTAATTTTTTTCCCTCCTTTTTATTTCCTGCCACAGGGTCTATGTGGGTCCTGCTGGGCCTTCAGCGCCACGGGGGCTCTGGAAAGCTTCCATTTCAAGAAAACCGGCCAACGGGTCTCCTTGAGCGAGCAGAACCTCGTGGATTGCTCCCAGCCTCAAGGGAACAACGGGTGCTGTGGTGGAAAGGCCAAGAAGGCTTTCGAATACGTCCGCCAGAATGGGGGCCTCAGTTCGGAGAAGGACTACCCCTACGAAGAAAAGGTAAAAAAAAATCTATGCTCATCTCCTGGATGGGCTACTGCAAGATTCTCTCCGTGGGGCTTCCCTTGACACTGACTGGAGCAGGTCCCGAAGGAGGTAGCCAGACGGGCGGCTGATCCAAGCAACTTTGATCAGATCTCCCCAGTTCTGGGGGACCCATTGCATCTGGGGCACCTGGGGAGGCTTTGCGGGGCTCCCTCCCAACCTCCAGAAGCCTTCCGGAGAGGCTCTTCGCTCGGGAGGGCTTCCGACGCCACTCTGCCTGGGTTTTCGGTCCCGTCCGCTGCCCCTCATTTCAAATCATGCCTCTTCTTGCCTCTGATTTTACCCATTGACCGATTTTATTTTCATTTACTTGTTGCTGTGTTGAATTTTCCCTGCTATAAACCGTCCAGAATCATGCTTGGCCTGAACGGCAATCTATACAAATCTGAGAAAGAAATTAAATAAATGTATCAATCTAAGATGCCGATACAGTTTCTAAGGACTGGTGATCTCTAATGTCTCAAGTGAGCCATTGAGATTGAGACGGAAAATCTAAACTGGTGACTTGCGCCTCCAGCCATGAAATTCAACTCTGGGCCTTTTTGTGCAGCTGAGAATCTGCCGCAGGAAAGTCACGAAGATCGGGATCAAAATTTCAGGAATTCGGAATGTGACACAGGGGAACGAGAAGGCGCTGGAGCATGCAGTGGCAAAGTTTGGGCCTGTTTCTGTAGGAATAAACTTTAATGGAAAAAAGTTCCAATTCTATAAATCAGGTGAGGTTCCCTTGGAAAGAAGGTTGGACGGGGTTCAGTAAAGACTTGTGAGTGTTGGAATAAAAAGATATAACCCATAATACTAACAGGAGAAATGGCAATGTGTCACAACGTCCAGGAGAGCTGGGTTCAAATCCCTGCTTAGCCATTAAAACTCTTTTTGAGGATGATGTTGTTGTTGTTTATTAAGTGCTGTCAAGTTGCCTCTGATGTCTGGTGGGCCTATAAATGGTCCTGTCCTCTACAGCTCTGCCACGCTCTTGCAAACCCAAAAGCCGTGGGTTCTTTCATGGATTTGATCCTCCCACCTTGCCCAGCAAGAGAATTCCCATTCTCTTCCAGGGAATCCTGCTTTCCTACGATGGGCCCATTCCAACCTTTTTGCTTCCCGAAAAAGTTCAGCCTTGATTTGCTCCAGGACCCGCATCCAGGTTCATTTGCTGAAAGGCTGCGTGGCAGGGTCTGTGGCCCTTATGGAAAGCTGTGTGGGACTGCAGCCACTAGGAAGACGGTGTCAATCAAAATGACAACAAATAGTGGCAGCTTGTATTCCCAGCCATGTGCCCGTTGAGTCACTTGGCGCATGACCGGGAATGAGAGCAGCCGTTACTTCATTGAGAACAATTTATTCTGTAGCACTTGCACCTGCTTGAATCTCCACAAGACTATTGAATCCTCCTCGTCATATCATCATCCTTTCTGTCTTCCATCCAGGAATCTTTTCAGATGATTGCGGAGATGGCAAGCTGAGGCACGCCTTATTGGTGGTCGGCTACGACACAGATGAAAATGGGAAAATGTACTGGATTGTGAAAAACAGGTGAGTCAAGCTGAAAGGTGCCACGGACACGGAGAATTGTGGGGGGTCTCGGGGATGATGGTGGTGTTGTGCTGAGAGGAGGAGGAGGAGGGGATCCTTCTGGCCCCAAACTGAGGGCACCCTGAAACATAAGGGTCAGGATCCTGTTTGCTTAAACAACTGTGTAAATCATCCTGGCATTTCCTTCCCTCTCCTTTGGGCCACCAATTCTGCATGGTTCGCACAACCAGGTGTGCTTCGGTTGCCCAACCGGTTGTCCAAAGCACCGCTCACTGGACAGAGGAAAACCAGGGAGTGTCAGTCCGTTTTGGCCTTTTTGCACCCGACTCGGTGCCGGTTAGGGGGTCAGACTGGGACCCAGGAGGCCCAGATTCCAATTTTCTCCAAGCCTCGCTGAGGGATGCGGTGTGACCGTCTCTCTCTTTCACACACACTCTTTGAATTCCTGAGGAGCAGGGGCCAGGAGTTTTGACCCTCCGCACATCTTCCACAAATGTTCTGTTTATGTAGAAGGCAGATGGATGTCTTCATTTATTCTGTTTCTCACCTGCCCTTTCTCTGTGAAGCGCCAGGTGGCATCCGTGGGGTCTCATCCTCCCCACAGCCCTGTAAGGTAGGCCAGGCGGAGGGAGAAAGAAAACCAAGATCAAGCAGGGAATGGCACAGCTTTGGGGGGGGAGACCTCACTATCCGTCCAGCCTGCTAACCACTACTCTATCCTGCCAGTGGGCGATTGTGATGATTTTTACCCCATCTTGTGATTCCTCCTTTATCATTTTCTCTTTGTTCTTGTTCTTTTCCCACAGCTACTCTAAAAGCTGGGGCATCAAGGGCTACCTGCATCTGGAGAAAGGATCCAACCTCTGCGACATAGCCAACGACGCATACTATCCCGTGTAACCCCCCCCTCGGAGGCTGTGGGGTGGCCGGATCTCTCCTTCCGGATCCTTCTTTTGCCCCCCCACCCCCACCCCGGGAGCTGTTCCCTCTCTCTCCTCCCCCTCCCTCTGCTGAGTTGAAAAGGACCCCCTTGCCCTAAAATCAGAAAATCGCCTCTTAAAGGCACTTCCTGAACAATAAACAGCTTGATTTGCATTGAAAGAGTTTTTGTTGCTGATTATTATTATCTGTTTTAACTTATTTGATTCTTTCCTCTTCTTTTCTTCTTTGTTTCTTCTTCTTCTCCATCTTGAAGTACTGCTATTTGACGTAATAATTTCTTTTTGTTATATTTTTATTTGTTGTTTCACGTGTTTGTAATACACCATTATTTAATCTGTTTCAACTTATTTCCCTTTACGCTGCCTTCGGCTCTCATATGAGAAATGCAAAATGGAATATACCTGGATGCCCCTGGCGTTCATTAAAAATAAAGGAAAGTGTGTGTGTGGGGGGGGGGAGATTTTGTAAAAGTTTCAAAGTTTTTCAGCCAGGCTTTGAATATCAAATTTTCGTCTCTTTCATGCCATTTTATTTATTTAATTCCAATCCCCCCCCTTGGCAGCCAGGCCACTCCTCTGGGGCAGCTAACAAAAAGAGCTTTGGCACCATAAACTGAGGTTCAAGAATAAGCAACCGTGAAGACATTAGACAAAAGAGCATGGGGAAAATCCACCTTAAAATAAGTCTATTTAAGAGTATACAGGATGGTGACAGACCAAACAATCAACCAGATAAAAGGCAGGTCATGAAAAATTAGAGAAACTAAGCAAAACGTTTAATTAAATTAAACAGGGCAGCTGTATAGTTTTAGAGTTTTGATTTTCAGGTAAAATTCCTCTTAGTATGCGGCAGATGTACAGAGATCCAGACACAGCCCAGCCCTGATTTGTTGCTGATTATCTAATGCTCCGAGTCTCCATTTTAGCATGTTTTCTCTAACACAACCTTCAGGTCTCATGGCAGAAGTGCCAAATGGAATATACTTCAATATCCCGGGAATAAATGAAATAAATGAAACAAAGCTCTGAATATCTAATTTTTGTCGCAGAGCTTTGGATTTCTGTTAAAATCCCTCTTAAGACGCCACAGAAGTACAGGGAGCCACAGAGGAGAATAGTAACGAGTTCCCCAGAGAGTTCACCCCTTTCTCATCAACTGGCACTTACTGTCTCAATAACTCTCTCTGAGATATTTGTAAGAGAAACAGGTAAAAACGTTTCTTTGCTTCCTGTTGCTTGAAGTCACCAACCTCTCAAGCTTTCCAGCCAAGTTTAGATCACCCAATGTAGTGTTGTTTTGCCCCATCTGCCATGAAATCGAGAGTAAACAGCATGGCCTGGGTTGGCTGGACAGGGGCCGGAGAAGGTGGCCAGCACAGCACCCTATGTGTGTGAATCCGTTTGCCGTGGTGTGGGTTCATTTCATATTATCAGCTCAGGGGTTCTTTGCCTCTGATTTAGGAGCCAGAAGCCGTGAATTCGAATCCCTCACTGGGACTCCCCAACAGAGTCTGGACTTGATGACCTCTAAGATCTCTTCCGGCTCTGCCGTTCTAAGAGGATGACCGTCTTTCCTGGATTTAAGAATGTCTATTCCGGGCACCGTCGCAGGTCTTATCCGCCAACACCCCTGAAACTTGATGATCTGATCTGTTTTAAAACAGAGACAAAGTTTCTTGGGGAGCAAAAACGCCAGCTGAGGCTACATTGTAAGGAAGAAGTCATGGCTACAGAGAATCCAGCGCCTTCCACGGGAGACTCAACATTTCTTAGTAATAAGTAGCTCTGTGCATGGGGAACGGCTTTGCTGAAATGCAATAAATTCTCACCAACGAGCATATCTTCGTCAGGGACGAATCGACGGTTGCAAAACTTTTGTTTCCTTTTTTTTAGAACTGTATAAAAACTGGAACCCTGTTGATTTCGGGGTTCCCCACCCTGCTGGGCCCCCGAGGGCACACAGTTTTACCCCGGAAAAGCCTGTCGCCCTTTCCTCCAAGAAACTGTCCGGTTATGATTATTGTTACTCGGAACTTGGCTTTAATAGAATCAGCGAAGGCACTGAGTTCCGGGAGTCACAACATCCTGCAGGGCAGCGGCTGCCTCGGTGGTTTGGAGCCGTTCTCCGAAACCCCGAGTGGTTGACAAAGTGCTGGGCTAAAGAAGAGGGGTCAGGAAACAGAGCAGGGGGTAGGGTGGCCTAGTGGGAAGGGAGTCGCCTCCTTTAAGGCAGCCTTGTGGCTTTTCTCCTGCAAAGAGAGACGGGTGATCTGAAGGGGTCTTGAATCTTTTCTTTTCTGGGGGGGAGGGACATTCTTTTCATGAGGTTGTGTTTCATGGCTTGGCAGTGGTTTCATTGGTGTTCCCGTTTGTGCAAAGCTACCTTGAATCTCTTCACAGGGGGAAAAAGTGGCAGAAGAATGAAATCAATCAATCAATCAATCAATCATATATTCTGAAGTGGGGGAAGTGTAGAGGAAGAACACGTTTCCTCGTGGGAAGATGCCACGAGCTCAGAACAGACAATTCTGAGTAAGGGCACAGTTACAGTAAGAAAATGGATCAGGAGATGAATAGGGGATTTTGAAGCCGGTTTAAACCTGTGTGGTTTTTTGTGCATCCTCTTGGATAAGCTGTGTTGTGTATCAGTTGAGGGGGGCTATGCAGGCTTTTAGCATCATTGCATTTGAGGCGCTGTCCTGCACCCGCCCGCCCTTGCTCTGGCTGCATCTCACAGCTGATGGGCACTGCTTGCTATGGTGTTTTTTGAATTTTCTTTTTAAAATGTTGCAATCTGTTATAGCGCTAGTTTGGTATGACAGATAGGAAAAAGGAATTCAAACAGAGGTTTCGCTGCTGCCCAACCCATGCACACGGAGACAGACAGACAGACAGACAGACAGACAGACAGACAGACAGACACACACACACACACACACACACGTAGAGGAGGTGGAGAGGAAGAGGGAACCAGCAGCCAGAAGGGAACCCTCAGCCAGTCAGAAGCAAAGAGAAACTGACCAGAGCAAATGGAAACTGACCAGAGACATTGACCAGAAGGGCAACTTCTCCAGGCTGGCCAAGGAAGGAGCGCTTTCCCCCACCCAACCTCCTTCTCCCACGGCAGGTTTTCTTTCTGGGTCAGACTGCGAGGTTTCCCTGCAGCCCAAACCCCATGATCCTGGCATCTGTTACCTGACAAACTCCACAGTCCCAATTTACACCTGAGGAGGTGTTTGCATCTGCCGAAACAATTCAAAATAAATTGATTTGACAAGTGATTTAAACTAAGTGACCTCCCCTTGGCGGTGTAAGATACCTCTCTTTCCAACCAAATAAACCACTATTCTCATGAAAAAAAATAAATAAATCTATGTGCGTTGTGTAATCGTGATTTTTTAAAAATCGATTTCAAACTTCCTAAACCCAATTCAAAAATGGGGGGGGGGAGGTTTCCACCCAACCAACCGTGCCCTAAACTAAAGTTTTCTGGAAGCTTTCCCCCGTTCCTGTTGAAAACCCAAACGAATGAACTGGAACGAGAAGGTCTGAACGAATGGGGAAACCCAACTTTCTTGTTGCCATTTCTGACAGTCGGGCTGAAGCTGAAAAGACCAGGACGCCCAAAGTGTTCTTCTCCACTGCTAGATTTAGTTTGCCTGCCTTGCAGGGCTGTCGCGCATGCCAAAAGACCATCCAGCTTGTGGGACGTGCCCACCCCCTGCGCCTTCAGAGGCCGAGCGAGGAGCAAAGGAGAAATTCAGAGATGCAAACAGCCAGGTTTCTGTCTTCCTCGGAGGTCTCTTTCGGCAAGTCCAGATCTCGGGACAGGAAAAGGAAGTCCGAGTCAGCAGGGCTGGCCCGGGAAACTTTCCTCGGAGGATCGGCCCTTTTGCTGGGAAAAATCAGGAGCCTTCGCAGACGATGTTTCGGAGGTGAAATCCGGGAAGGGGGGGAGGGAACAAAGAGATCACAAGTGGGGTGGAAGTCAAATAAGACACGAATCTCACTTTTTGAAAAGAGAGAGAAAGAGGATTTGCTTGTTACCCTATGGAATGGCCAGTTTTTGGATTCTGGTGAGTCCTTTTCTTTCTTGCAACTTGTTAAAAAAAGAGAGTTTGGGGTTCTGTTGTGGATTATTATTACTATTACTATTACTATTACTATTACTATTACTATTACTATTACTATTACTATTACTACTACTACTACTACTACTACTACTATTATCATCATCATCATCAAAGCTGTATCATCAATGTATAATCTGTGGTTAATCATCATTATCATCATCATCTTAGAACGGCAGAGCTGGAAGGGACCCTGTGTAGATCATCCGGTCCATCCCTTGTCAAGGAAGCTCCGTGGGGGAATTCAAACTCCCAACCTCTGGCTCCACAACCAGATTCCTAAGTCCCCTGAGCTCTCCTGCCATTTTGGATTCAAAGTTTTGCATCAAATACCCAGGCATTTTTTAATAAAGGAGTTAAAACCCCTTGGCTGCCTTAGTCATGTATGAAGCAGCATCGATGACAAAGAGGAAGACGTTTCCCCTTTTTTACACCAGCCAGCCAGAGGAGTTTCACAGAATTATCAAAGAGCATAACAACAGTGGAATTGTTTAGTTTTGTAGAATTTTACATGTTAGAATAAACACTTTGCCAGGCTCATTAGAGTGCTAATAAAAACATTAGTTCCATATCGTCTGTTTACATTGCTTGCATCTATTGAAACCACACAGGTTTCCCTCGGTCGCGGCAGACGAGTATTTTACAGCCTTCTGAGGATCGATCCATCTCACCCATTTGCTGGCTCGTCAGGAGGGTTGCCAACAACCAAACGGTGACCAAAATATAATGCTTACTACAAAATTAGGCAAAAATATGAAATAACATGTTAAAAAGGTCAAAAGATGACTTTCCAGGCAAAATAAAAACAATGTACTCCTGACCAGATTATTCATCATAAACATGTTTAAACTTACTTGTAAGTTCAAATATAGGTTGCGGGGGGGGGAATGACATGTCATAGAAATCTTTTGTTGAATTGACACGAGCCTCTGAATTTCACCCAACTGCATTGAATTATAATGTTTGGGTTCTCATTTGTATCTGATTAAAAAAAATAATTGTGAGATGTTTCAAATGCCATGTTTGGGAGAAAGGTGAAAGGATAAACTAATTGATCGACAGATTAGTGAATTGATTTGTTTGATTGATTAGCTGCTTTAGGTGGCGAGGGCCAGAGAAAGCTATAAAGCTTTCCAGGAAGGTTAAGCCATGGGAGTTAAGCTGTGAGGAACAAACAACGTCAGGAACGTGGCTAGATCTCAGCGAGGTCCAGCCTCCGACCCACAAGCGATGTGGTTCAAGCTTCGATAGGGTTTATTTGCGTTCAGTCAAGATAATCGCAGGCAAAGCAGCGATCTTTCCCAAAGATGACATTTGGTATCAAGAAATGACGCAAATTGGGTTCGTTTATCAGCCTTGTCTGATAAAAAGCTTTATCGGGTGGGACGATTCATGTGCCACTTTCTCTCTGAACCCCCGGGTGAGCCGGTACTGGGAATCAGGACCTTCTCCCCCTCCTTAGCAAATCTTCTGAAGATTCGTTAAGACACAGAGGCCCTTTGGATCTTAGAAGAGACAGTTAGAAACATGGCAACATCGGCATTTCTTAGTAGACTGGATGGATGGATGGTGGTTCTATGCCTCTGTGGAAGGTGGCGTGCCTGTTAACTCCATAAATCTTTTGTGCCTATATAGCATGCAATTCCCATCCATCTGGGAGCAGAGGCCCCCAGAAACATGGCAACCCCCACTGAGTAATCCTGCATCCCCTCTTAGTCCTGATCAAGGGAGACTCCCCGAAACAACTCTGAGGATACCGTAGAACAAAACGCACATCGATCCCATTGACTCAACGGCTCTCCTCTCGTGGACCTGAGCCACTGAATTTAACCCCGTGCTGCTGATTTATAACTTTTGTGTTCGTTTTATGCTTCTTGGTGTGAAGCTTCAAATGTCAGTGCCCAGTTTGGGAGAAAGGTGGAAGTCGATTGGTCGACTAATTAATCAACCTGATTGCCCAAGTGGGTCAAGGCCAGAAAAAGATCTAAAGCTTTCAGGGAAAGTGGCCGGATGGAGGGAGTTAAGCAACGAGAAACATTTGACCTCAAGAACGTGGCTCGATCTCTGCAAGGTCTCGTTCTGGACCCACAAGTGATGCGGTTTAAGCTTTCGGGGAAGGTTCTGAGTTCAGGAAGATAACCTCAGGAAAATGAGCGATCTTTCCCCGAGATGACCTTTGGTACCAAGAAATGATGCAAACGGGATTCATTAAAAAAGAGGGAGGGACTCGGCTGTCTTTGCCCTATAAAAGGGACCCCCACATCTCCCCGATCAGACGCTTCCCTTGGAGGTCCGGAGGAAGAACCTTTAGGCAATTAAGGGCCCCCGTTCTTCATGGTAAGGTCTATCATCCGGTTATTTTCTCCAGGTGAGGTAGAAAGAGACCTGATCCTTCCAGGTGAAATGTTGGGTGGGTAGTCATAATGATGATGATGATGTGCCCTCATGTCAATTCTGACAAGTTAGGGGACAAGATCAGTTAAAGGAATGGGTGCTGGCAGATGCACCCTCGAGCTGAAATTCAAACGATCATGGATTTGCAGGAGGGCGTTGGGGGGAAATCAGACCTTTCTGGCTATCGGGGTTGGGAAGACGAGTCATCGGGGGCTCCAGGTAAAGGATTGTGCCCCAAATCCTGATGGGCTCCTGCTGCTTTCTGCAGGCGAAGATGATGCCCTTCCTGGGGCCGTCTGTACTGGTGTTGCTCCTGAGAGTGTCGGCAGCCCTGGATCCGGCCCTGGACACAGCCTGGGAGGACTGGAAGAGTCTCCACGGGAAAGCATACCTGGAGGTGAGCTCCCCACCCTCGCCCCACCATCAGGCCTGGGAAGTCCAGAGATCGGACTACACTGCCCATCATCCCCAGACAAAACATGAGGTGTGTTTTTCCCTTTCCTCCTTTACAAAGGAGACCTCCATACTGTGGAGAACCTGTAGAGCAACAGGTACTCTCTAACTACGATACCCATCATCCCTGCCAGCTGCACCATGTCACCTGGAACTGATGGGCACTGGAGTCCAACGCCATCCGCAGAACACCTGAGCTTCCCTGAGCCGTTTTATTGGGAAGGAAGTGGATTTATAGGTATATAAGAAGGCCTGCCTTAGAATCACAGGGGGGTAGAAAGGGACCCCCCAGGATCATCTAGACAGACCCCCTCACCAATGCTGGGCGTCCACAGCTAAGGCTTCCCTCTCAGCTGGTTTATTGGGGTTGTTCTGTGCCGTCAAGTTGCTTCCGAGTTAGGGCAACCCTTTGTTCCTTTAAAATCCATTCTCGTGTTTGAGCTTAATCCGGTTTCTCCCTGGCAGGGGGAAGAGTTTTCCCGCAGAGCCATCTGGGAGGATAGCCTGAGGATGATTGAGCAGCATAACTGGGAGGCCTCCCAGGGGAAACACACCTACCGGCTGGTCATGAACCACTTTGGCGACCTGGTGAGCACCCCCGATCTTACACAGAGACCCCCTTTTCCTGCTCAGGAAATTATGGGTCACGTCCATGTTGATGCTTCCGACTCCACTCACTTGATGGGCATTCTAGTTAGTTTAGAGTCAAACTATCTGTGGCTTTTGTTTTTATCTAAGCCAGAGAGTTGAGACATCGGGGACCGCTTTGCAGGGGTGTAAGCAGAGTTTGCATGGCTGCTATTTAGTTGACTCTGAAGAATTTTGGCCCAACTTCTTAAGAACCGAAAAGGATGCTAGAGGGCTGTATGTATAATAAATAACAGAGCAGCCTCTGTTTGCAGCTTGGAGTCTAAAATTTCACAACTCAGAACCTTCTTCAGGAAAACTTTGGGGTAAAAACATTTTAAACAGAGAAACAAAGCAGTAGGACAACACCCAACTTTTCTCTACTGAGTGAAGCCTTGTAGTAGAGAGGGCCCCTCGAGGTCATTTAGCCCACCCCTTGCGCTATGTGGAAATCTTGTAATGCCAGCAGAGCCAGAAGAGACGGCTTCTGCTTCCATTTTTCCAGCAAAGAAGGCTTGTGAGCATTCCCCACCTCCTTGGGTAGACTGCCCTCCCTCTGAGGATGATGGTTTCTGTAATGCTGGACCCAAACCCACCCGTCCCCTCCCCCTCGGGCCCTCTTGGGTTCCCCCCCTGCCCTCTGGAGCCCCCAAAAAGCCAGGCTTGGCCGTCTCCTCCTCCCGGGTTCTCCGGAGGGGCAGAAGCTGGTGCTCGCCAGGGCGAGCAGAAACAGGGGGACTGGCGACCCACCTCTGCTTCTTTCCCCTTTCCAGACAAACGAGGAGTTCAACCAGAGGATGAGCTGCCTCCTGCCCAATGAGGTCAGACCAGGTGGGGGGAACGTGAGTTGGTTCCACGGATTGGCCACCGAGGAGGTCCCCAAAAGTGTGGACTGGCGGAAGGAAGGTTACGTCACGCGGGTGAAGGACCAGGTGAGTCCGGGAGATATTCCCATGAAAACGGAAGAGATAAACTCTGCCAAGGGTCTTTGTGAGATGCTCTCTAGTGCTTCACCATCTGAAGGACGAACGACCTATGGATTAACGACCTTGTCCTCCTCTGCCCTGCTCAGGTCTTGCAAACTCAAAGCCTGTGGCTTCTTTTAGAGAGTCGGTCCATCGCACCATAAATTACAAGATTAAAAAACAAACAGTAAGAAATTAAAACCCATTAACTAATCATACAATAAGAATGTTTAAAAATCCATCCATCCATCCTTTGTTAAAACAAATTATTACCCTATGAAGAATTAATGGATTTTATTTTCTTACTCTTTGCGTTAATTAATTAATAAAGGAACAAAATATCAGGATTTCAAACATGTTATCGGGAAGAGAAAAAGCAGTGAGTGACTCAGTCATGGTTATGACCTGTCATGCAACTACTAATACAACAATAATTAAAACCCAGTAATTAATTTATAATAATAACAGTAAATCATTTAAAAACATTTAAAGCATACTTTAAAAAAGCAACCACACCCAGATAAACCAGCCTCCAGGGGCTCAGCCCTCTTCAGCCCCCAATGGATTAATAATTTAATAATCATTAAAAACTTTATCAATTAATTATACTACAATTATAAAAACTCCATTGGTTATACAATAATAATAGTTATTCAACTAATTCATGATATAAGAAGAATTAAAACTCCATTAAGTGTACAATAAGAATTGAAACCCCATTAAGTTTACAATAAGAATTTAAATTGTATTAATTAATTACACAATAATAATTAAACCTATGAATTCATCCTATCCTAATTATTCAAAATATGGAGGGACCTTAGAAGCACCTTTAGAAAAAAAATATAAAACCAGCGTCCGGGGACTCAGATCAGAGTCTGGACCTTGGGAGCCGCTCGGCTTCTCAAGGGATCTTTCCTGGTTGTCTGGATTTGGACCCTTCAGAGCGAATTTTGGATCCTTTCTGGCTGAGCCGGATCTCAGCTTGTTCACGAGAGGTTCCTGGTTTCTAATTTTTTCCTCCTCATTTTTATTTCCTTCCACAGGGTCTATGTAATTCCTGCTGGGCCTTCAGCGCCACGGGGGCTCTGGAAAACTTGCATTTCAAGAAAACCGGCCAACGGGTCTCCTTGAGTGAGCAGAACCTCGTGGATTGCTCGTGGAATCAGGGCAACCACGGTTGTCAAGGGGGATGGCCCTGGAAGGCTTTCGAATACGTCTGCCAGAACGGGGGCCTCAGTTCGGAGCAGGACTACCCCTACAGCGGAAAGGTGAAAGACCCGAGGATCTCTGTGAATCTTTACGGCACAGGTGGATTGGAGGATGTGCATCAGGATAGGGTCCCTTTGGGGCTGCGCACCAAGAGGGACGTCCCTGCGAAGTAGGCCAGGCCAGCCCCTTCCTGGACCTTTCTGGGCATGCCTGGAAGAGGCCTTCATGATGGCAAAGGTATCAAGGTAGGGTTGCCAGATACACGGGTACTAAAAGGAGGACATAGAAAGACAAAAAGGAGGATAAAGGAGGACATATTGAATGTTTCATTTGAATCATTCCAGATTAAACCCACATTCAATACAATTTTATTACAATAGCTGCCAATAAATATCTCTTAGTGAACCGACCAAGAAACAGTCATGTTAAAATTAAAAATAAATTCAATGGAGGCTTTTTTTCAAAATACCAGGGATGGGCGGGCAGGTAGGGGTAGGGAAAGGCAGGAGGAAGGGGGGCCTTCCACCTCTCCCCCTCCCATCCAAAATTATAACATAAAATATACAAAAGCCTGACATTTTAAAGGTTTTTATCTTTGCCTGCCTGATGGAGGACATTAGGCTAAAACGGAAGACATGTCCTCCTTTTGCATGACATCTGGCAACCCTATATCAAGGTATCTTCGACCATCTTGATTTCCTTCAGAGTTGTTGGGTTGTACTTCCCATCATCCTTCTCTTTGGCTGATGGGAGTTGTTGTCGGTGGTGGAGGTGGGGGACCGCTGTCCTAGGCAAGGGGTAGACAGGGAGACTGATCCTTCCTGCTCCTTCTAAACGTGGAGGATGGGATAACGTGTTGTTTGTCCCAGAGAATCCACAGATAGCCTCTCATTAAAACAGGGGGTTCCTTACGAGTTAAAGGAGGGCTGATTGTCATGGCGAAAAAAAGGAAAGCGTGGCTCACCCCCTGGGCCTTGACAGTGAGCCAGCTTTCTTCTGCGGCAGGACGTCGGGAGGGGAGCCAAAGCATTGCGTCCCAGCGTGTGCTCGGGCACGAGGTTCTGCTGGAATCGCGTCTCTAGAACACCCACAGGATTTCAGTTCTTAAAGGCCGGCTCTCTCGGGCCACCCCGGAGAGCCCTTTAGACGAGAGATATGAACGTCATGATTCTGTATCCCTGGGCAAGAAATTCAAATCTGAGTCTTTTTCAGGAGGGCAAAAGCTGTCGTTACAACCGTGAGAACTCCATGGGCCAATGTGCATCGGTGAAGCTTGTGGAGCAGGGGGACGAGGAGGCGCTGGAGGAAGCCGTGGCCACCGTTGGCCCCGTGGCTGTGGGCATCGACACCAGGCCTTCGAGGTTCCAGTTCTATAAATCGGGTGAGGTTTGCTTCGAAGGAGGGCCAGGTCATCTCAGGGAAAACTCCAGGGTACCCCGAGAAGAATGGGATGGGAAACCGCTTCTCGACCTGGAAAACCCTAAAAAAAGGGTTACCATAAGTCAGAATTAACTTTACTGCTGCTATTAATAACAAGAACTCAACAGAGCCATACACTGTCTCCAGCGGTTTATAAATGGTAATGGCCAATGGATGTTACTTCCAAAGTCACAGCTTGAATTCCCAGTCTCGGGCCCGTGGTGCGGCTTAGCGTACGACCGGGAATGAGAGCAGACCTTACTTCATCAATAGCAGTTTGTTGTTAGGGCTGATTCTGTCACACTGGAGTGTGACTCTCCAGTAGGAAAATTGCTATTATGTCATGCCATCATCTTTTCCATTTTCCACCCAGGAATCTTGTCATGCACTTGGGGGGGTGACAGGCTGACCCATGCCGTGCTGGCGGTCGGCTACAACAAGACGGGCAACAAAGGGAAAGATTACTGGATTCTGAAAAACAGGTGAGACGGTGCCCAGGCCGGTCAAGTGGATGGGGGCCCCCGGATACGAAAGTGTCGCGGAGGGGACCTGGGGATAAGCCAGGGCTGGCCGGAAAACCCGGGAGTTTTAGTCACAAGGATTTTGACCATGGTTTATT